GCAGTGAAGGACAGTGAAAAGCGGGGTTCTGGTATTAGATTGTCTGCTCACATCCTTGCTGGGCCATTTGATAGCAGGTCATTTCTCCTCTCAAGGCTGTCCAGTAGCAGCACTGTTAGTGGGCATGGGATGAAGTTTCCAGATGTTTACATGGTAAAATCAATAGAACCTCATGGGATGAGGAAGGGGAGGGGACAAAAACTTATTTCCTAATAGGATGGCAGGTGATAACAGCCCCATTAAAGGGTCAGAAGAGCATCCTGTATCCGAGTGCCGGTTCAAGCCTTGGCTGCTCCACTTCTAATCCAGCTCCCTGCTAATAAATATGGCCCAAATGCTTGCACCCATGTGGGAGACCCAGATGGAGTTCCTGGCTCCTGGCTTCAGCCTGTCCAGCCCCAGCTGATGCGGCCATTAGGAAAGTGAACCTGGAGATTGAAGATCTCTTTCTCTCTCTGTTTCTCCCTCTCTTTCTCACTCTGCCTCTCAAGAAAATAAATATTTAAAAAATTGTACCTTTTCTTAGTTATGTAAACAGAAAGTTATCTGCCAAGAATGAAAGACAAAGTAGTGCAGACCAAGGTACAACAGAGTAGCAATGAAAAGTGAGAGCCGACAAAGGAAATGTATGAGGATGCTATCAGAGGAAAATGTGAGAAATCAATCTAGGGCATCAACAGTATCTTACAGAGACCTCTGGAGATGAATGCAAAGTGGCTCCAAGAACCCTAGAAGACAGCTGTGCTCCAGTGGAAATCCCATCAGTGGTGATACTCTCAGCATCCAAGAACAAAAATGGACATTGCAAGTTCTCTGGTATTTTTTCCAAGATGATCATTCTTCCACTCAATTTTACACCCTGCAATCCAACATTCCTTTTGTAGTTTATTTTTAGGAACAAGTTTCTACATACTGAGATGTGCTGCGATCACATTTTCTTTCTTCCAATTTTTGATGGTGATGGATATTTAACATCACTAGAACAACTGCAGTGAGAAGAATATCAAACAAAAATGACCTGATTAAAGCTGTGCATTAACAGACAACTGTTCTGTATAACAGGGTAGATGATTTAGTGTCCTGGTAGGACAGACATTGGCTATAGCTATAAAAGATTTATAGGCATCGGCTTAGGAACAGTACATGATTGTTTCATTTGAGGTTAGAAAGTAGGTTTAGGGGCCGGCGCTGTGGCACAGTGCGTTAATCCTCCGCCTGCAGCGCCAGCATCTCATATGGGTGCTGGTTCTAGTCCTGTCTGTTCTTCCAATCCAGCTCTCTGCTATGGCCTGGGAAAGCAGTAGAAAATGGCCCAAGTCCTTGGGCCCCTGCACCCACGTGGGAGACCTGGAAGAAGCTCCTGGTTCCTGGCTTCAGATCGGCCCCACTCCAGCCATTGCGGCCATTTGGGGAGTGAACCAGCAGATGGAAGACCTTTCTCTCTGTCTCTCCCTCTCACTGTCTGTAACTCTACCTCTCACATAAACAAATAAATAAATAAATAATTCTTTAAAAGCAACAACAACAAAAAAGATAGTAGGTTTAAATCCTTAATTTTAGTATCCCTGTGCTAACAGATCAAGGACCACACTTTGAAACATGCTCTTTTTATGTCAAGAACAGCATGAGGACCGGTGCTGTGGCATAGCGGATAAAGCTGCTGCCTGCTGTACTGGCATCTCATATGGATACCAGTTCAGGGCCTGGTTACTCCACTTCCAATCCAGCTCTCTGTTATGGCCTATGAATATGGCTCAAGTTCTTGGGCCTCTGCACCCATGTGGGATACCTGGGGGAAGCTCCTGGCTTCATATATGTGCAGCTCCAGCCATTGTGGCCATCCAGGGAGTGAACCAGTGGGTGGAAGACCTCTCTCTCTGCCTCTGCTTCTCTGTAACTCTGCCTTTCAAATAAATAAATATTTATTTGAAATATATGGCGCTATGGTATGGCAAGTAAAGCCGCCGCCCACAGTGCCGGCATCCCATATGGGTGCTGGTTCGAGTCCTGGCTGCTCCACTTATGATCCAGCTCTCTGCTCTGTGGCCTGGGAAAGCAGTAGAGGAAGGCCCAAGTGCTTGGGCCCCTGCACCTGCGTGGGAGACCAGAAGGAAGCTCCTGGCTTTGGATCAGCCCAGCTCCAGCCATTGTGGCCATTTGGGGAGTGAACCAGCGGATGGAAGACTTCTCTCTCTCTGCCTCTGCCTCTCTGTAACTCTTCCTTTTAAACAAATAAATAAATCTTAAAAAAAAAACACAGCATCAGTAAAGGTCAGAAACCTGTGTTTTCCTTTGGAGAAAAGTTAGAGAAGCAACATGAAGAAGGTAAAATTTCCCACTGTAGACATGTTAAGAATGTTCTCCTCTGCATAAATGATGTCTTTTCTCTGGGCCTTGACAGTCAAGATAATGTCTTCCAATAGTCCTCCAGTAGGGGCCCTGTGCAAGGTTGGGGAGATGAGCTTCAAGAACAGTGGTAGTCACAAGAGTTCACAAGGCCCATTAGCAGAGCCCAGTGGAAGTCATTCCACCAGGCCAAAGCAAGGAGGGTGAAATGGGCAGGCTCAGGGTAGAGAAAATTTTAGGTTTTTTTATTTTTCTTTTAACAAATAAAAGATTAAATAAGAATGGGGTCAAAAGAGACTTAAGAAAAATGTCAAGTAAATGCACTGTGGGTTCTTGATCACATCATGAATGGAACAAAGAAAATAGAAAACAAAACACTTATAAGGCAATCAGGAACATTTGATATCTGATGATATCAATTTAGGTAACAACAATGTAGTCTTCTTTGAGATTTAATAAAATCAATCATATTTTCCTGTTTCATCACAGGCATTAAGTGAAATGAATATTTTTTCTTTTCTGCATTGCTCAAGTGGAGACAAACACAATAAGCTTGAGATCATTGCCCTGATTTAAACTGTTGCTTGCACACCATCAGTGCAAACAAACACAGCAGAAAAGGCAAATGGCTTAGTGTGATTATGAAAATGATTTTGTCCTTGTGGCTCAACATGGTTCATGTACATACAAAGTCTTTGCCTTTTAGGGATATATTCAGAAATAGTGATGAAGTAATATGATTTCTGGGACTGATGTTAACAATGAAAACACATGGGGCCAGCATTGTAGTGCAGCAGGTTAAGCCACTGCCTGTGATGCTGACAACCCATATGAGTGCTGGTTTTAGTACTGGCTGCTCCATTTTTTTTTTTTTTTTTTTAAGATTTTGTTTGTTTATTTGAGAGGCAGAGTTACAGAGAGAGAGAAAGAAAGGTCTTCCACTGCTGGTTCACTCCCCATATGGCCCCAACAGTCAGAGCTAGGCAGATCTGAAACCAGGAGCCAGGAGCTTCTTTTGGGTCTGTGTGGGTGTAGAGGCCCAAGCAATTGGGCCATCTTCCACTGCTTTCCCAGGCCATAAACAGAGAGCTGGATTAAAAGTGGAGCAGTCGGGATACAAACCAGTGCCCATATGGGATGCCAGTACTGCAGGCAGAGGCTTAGCCACAGCACCAGCACCCTGCTCCAGGTCCTTGCTAATGTGTTTGGGAAAGCAGCGGAAGATGACCCAAATACTTGGGCCTCTGCCACCCATGTGGGAGACAGGATGAAGCTCCTAGCTCCTGGCGTTGGCCTGGCCCAGCTCTGACTATTGTGGCCATTTGGGGAATGAACCAGTGGCTGGAGACCTCTCTCTCTCTCCCTACTTTCTATAACTCTGCCTTTCAAATAAATAAAATAAATCTTAAAAAAATAAAATGTCCACAACGAATGCTGAAAGATTATTTAGAAAAGTAAGTAGTTGTTGTCTTCTTTTCTTCACACCAACTGTGAATGCTGCAAACAGTGAAAGATTTTCTAAAAAGTAAACTATATTTTACTTAGCTAATGATACTATTTGTTAAAATCAAATGTACATGATTGTACAGCTTTGGTCAATTTACGGAGTATAGAAATGTGTTGGCTGTGGTGCTAGGCTGGGTTTCTACCAGGGGTGAGAAAAGTCTGTTGTTTTCCTGAGCACTGTAGTATGTTGAGCAGCAACCCTGGTCTCTAGCCACTAGATGACAGTGGTACCCTTCCTTTGCTGACAACTGAGAATGTCTCCAGACATGACTAAATGTCCTCTGGGGGGCAAACCACCCCAGGCAAGAATCTCAGGCTAACAGCAACACTGGTTGTTCTAATGCAGTGGTTTTCAGCAAGCGCTGACTGCCCTCAGGAACACTGTGGAATTTCATGGGCACTTCTTTATCACATGACTTGGGGTGTGTGTGTATGCAATGTGGGAGGGAGCCACGCATGCTGCAATGACCATAAAGCAAAGGACTGGCCCCAGTGGACTATATATGTAAGGTATGAAACAACAATATATGCAATATATGAACTGAATCTCTGACTGATTTCTCATAAATGAATTGTTGCATGCTTGGAATTTACACAGAATTTTCAGGAAATGCAGCAGTATTTTGCTTTGTTCAAATTTTTTCATGAGTTAGTCAATACTCTAGAAAATCATATCCCAATCAAGAATGGCCCTCACACATTTCTGTGGCCAACAGCATACCCTGTACTAGTGTGCAAGTTACAGGCTGTTGCCCCAGATTTCTTTGTATAACTGGGCCCACACAATGGAAATGGCAAGATACTAACTGGCTCAGGAAGCATCATTTTACCACATTGCTCTATCACAAACTACTTTCATTTAAATTACCCTACACAAAATGAGGATATATGGTGATTTTTCTGCATTACGTATATGGGTAGGTTACATTCTTGGTGAATTTACTGTTCTGTAATGGAGGAAACATTTGAAAATATGTTATTAAAAGGGGCCCTGGGTTTGATGGATTTGGGAAGCATTATTTCCTTAGAAAGTCAGAGGTCACCATTAGTATTTTTACCCCAAGTCCCTATTTCCATGCATATGCCATGTGGACTTACCGCATTTTTATACCTGTGGTTCAAAAATCATCTGCAGAATTTCTCTCCTATGTGGATTCCCTGATGTCAAATAACACAGAAGTGCTCATGGAAGGCTCTTCCACCCCAATAACATGCACAGGGTTTTTTTCTTGCACGATTTCACGGATGTCAAACAATGCAAGGGCCCTGCTTGCTGGCTGTCCTGACTTTGCTTGGTCCGCAGAATTCTCTCCTGAACTCGAGTGCTGTGCTGAGTGTGAACTTGCGTCCGAGGACTGCTCCCGTCGTCGGTTACGTCCGCTGGGCTCCTCCTTTCTGGTGTGAGTTATCTGATGTCGGATGAGGTGAGAGCTCTGAATGAAACATTTCCCACACTGATGACATCTGAAGGGCCTGTTGCTTTGGTGAGTCCTCTCATCTTGACTCAAAGGTGGGTCACAGCTGAGGGCTTCTGCCCATTGGTGCTTTGTTAAAGCTGTCGTCTGCTCAAAGATGAGCCTTTGCCGGCATTCATAGGGCTTCTCCCCAGCATGTTTTCGCTGATGCTGGGCCAGGGAGGAGCTGTGCCTGAAACCCTTCCCACAGTGGTTACACTCGTAGGGCCGCTCCTCCGTGTGAGTCCTCAGGTGCAGAAAAAGGCAGGTGGTCCGAGAGAAGGCTTTCCCACACACGCTGCAGGTGTATGGCTTCTCCCCAGTGTGTGTTCTCTTATGCCGGCCCAGTGAAGAGTTCTGGTTGAAGGCCCGCCCACAGTCCTGACACTCGTAGGGTTTCTCCCCAGTGTGAATTCTCCGATGGACAGTAAGGTGTGTGCTGTGGCAGAAAGATTTCCCACATTCAGCACATTTATAGGGTTTGTCTCCCGTGTGGATTCGCTCATGTTGAACGAGGGAGGAATTCTGGCTGAAGGCCTTTCCGCACTCTTTGCACATATAAGGCCTTTCTCCTGTATGAATCCTCTTGTGCACTGTGAGGTGTGCATTATGGTTAAATGACTTCCCACAGTCAGTACATTTGTAGGGTTTATCCTGTACCTGGGTTTTTGTGAGTTCTGGAACAGCCTGACTGGAAGCTTTGCTACAGTCATTGTTTTCACAGGTCTCTTTCCCGGGGGAGCCTGTCTGTTGACTGACTGAGCTTGATTTAGGTTTCAAGTTTGTGACCTGTGAGCCATAAGGACAGATGTATTCTGTCTTAGAAATTTCTGGGAACGGATGTGGGTCTGTGCTCAGGACCTGGTTTTCCCCAAGTCCGAGACTTTCATAGTGTAGATCCTGAACTGGTGCTTCCTTGAGACCAAATCCCAGTTGTCTCATGCTATTCTGGCCCTTCTCGAGTGCCTGGCCCTGGCCCTCATGTTCCCGGTCTTTTCCCGACACGGAGGGATAGGACACTCCCCTTGGGGATCCTTCCTCTTTCGTGACACGGGATGGCTCCTCTTCTTGAGGGCCCTGCTCCTTGGAAGATGCCTGGCTTTCAGGTCTAGGCTCCCAGCCTGAAAGAAAACCAAAGAGCTCTGAGTGGTTGGGGGGAAAACTAGGGGTTACAGGCTCCTAATACCAGGGTCTATATTACTAACCTAGGATGCTAACGACCTGCTCTTCAAGGCTCAGCTCTCCTCTTATGTTGGTACCAAGCGTCCTGTCCTCAAACATGGCTTCACTCATCTGACAAATACTGAGCACCTGCTGTGGGCCAGTTACTGGCAATGAAGTGAAGGTGCACCAGGTTCCTATCTGTTGCTTTAATAAACTTACCACAAACTTAGCGCCTTAAAACAGTACATGATGATTACCTTACAGCCCTAGAATGTAGAAGTCCTAAAATCAAGGTGCCAACTGGTCTGTTCTTCCTGGAGGCTGTAGGGAAAGATCTGCTTCTTTGTTTCTCCCAGCTCCTAGAGGAAGCCTGCACTCTTTGGGTCTTTCTCTCATCTCCAGAGCCACAAGATACCATCTTCAAGTCTCTCAATGACATTTGCTTGTCATTACATTTCCTTTTATGACTCTGCCCCTCTTGTCTCTTATAATGATCCTTATGATTGCATTGGGCACATCCAATAATTCAGGATAACCAGTTCTGAGGATTAGGATGTGGACTTCACTGGGGGCCAGGCTTCCCCACTCACCCTAAATGTCTTCAGTCCCCCTCACCTGCTCAAGTCTTACCCATGAAACACACATGTTCAGTGTTGGCGCTGTGGTATAGTGGGCTAAGCCTCTGCCTGTGGCGCTGACATCCCATATGGGCACTGGTTCATGTCCCAGCTGCTCTTCTTCTGATCCAGCTCTCTGCTAGTGCTCTGGGAAGGCAGTGGAGGATGGCCCAAGTGCTTGGGCCCCTGCACCCACTGGGAGATATAAAGCAGTTTCTGGCTTCTGGCTTTGGATCATCCCACCTCCAGCCATTGCAGTCATTTGGGGATTGAACCAGTAAACTCTCTGTCTCTCCGTCTCTCTCTCTCTCTCTCAGAAAGAGAGATGGAGAGGCTGGTGCCATGGCTCAATAGGCTAATCCTCCGCCTGCGGTGCCGGCACACCGGGTTCTAGTCCCAGTCGGGGCACCGGATTCTGTCCCGGTTGCCCCTCTTCCAAGCCAGCTCTCTGCTGTGGCCAGGGAGTGCAGTGGAGGATGGCCCAAGTCCTTGGGCCCTGCACCCCATGGGAGACCAGGAGAAGTACCTGGCTCCTGCCATCGGATAGGCGCGGTGCGCTGGTTGCAGCGCGCCGGCCGCGGCGGCCATTGGAGGGTGAACCAACGGCAAAAAAGGAAGACCTTTCTCTCTGTCTCTCTCTCTCACTGTCCACTCCTGCCTGTCAAAAAAAAAAAAAAAAAAAAAGGAACAAAGTATTGACATTTGCTACAACATATGGAGGAATTCAAAGGCATTATGCTAAGTGAAAGAGATGACAAAAAGGTCATATTTTTAAAATTTTTTTTAAAGATTTATTTTATTTATTTTAAAGACATAATTACAGAGAGAGGTAAAGACAGAGAGAGAGAGAGAGGTCTTTTATCTGACGGTTCACTCCCCAGATGGCCGCAGCGGCCAGAGCTGTACCCATCCGAAGCCAGGAGCCAGGAGCTTCTTCTGGGTCTCCCATGTGGGTGCAGGGGCCCAAGGACTTGGGCCATCCTCCATTGCTTTCCCAGGCCATAGCAGAGAGCTAGATCAGAAGAGGAGCAGCTGGGGCTAGAACTGGTGCCCATATGGGATGCTGGCACTTCAGGCCAGGGTTTTAACCTGCTGTACCACAGCGCCGGCCCCAAGGTCATATATTAAAAGATTCCCTTGGAGGCTGGTGCTGTGGCATAGCGGGTAAAGCGACTGTGGTGTAGTGGCTGAAGCTGCTGCCTGTGGTGCTGGCATCCCATACGGGTGCCAGCTTGAGTTCCAGCTGCTCCAGTTCTGATCAGCTCCCTGCTAATGTGCCTGGGAAGGCAGTGGAGGATGGCCCAAATGCTTGGGTCCCTGTACACACATGGGAGACCCAGAAGAAGCTCCTGGCTTCTGGCCCAACTCTGGCCATGGTGGCCATTTGGGGAGTGGACCAGTGGATGGAAGTTCTCTCTCTCTCTCTCTTTCTCTCTCTCTCTGTAACATGCCAGATGGGATCATGACTTACCTAAGCCAATTATGTCAATCTAGATCCCCTTTTCCAGTCTCCTTACCAACAAAGGTCAGAGTAGGTGGTTAGCGATCAAGTCTTGACCAAACATAACTCAATGAATAACATCTGGAATTCTAATAAAAGAGGACAGATATGGCTGGCACTTATCTTCCTACTTCCTCTCTTCCTTTTTTTGTCTGACCATGGATATGAAGACTGGAATGCCTGCAGACACACTGTAACCCTGAGGAAAGCAACACTCAGTTGCTCTAACCTGGCTTTAAGGTATCTACAGCTAAATAAAATCCTTTCTGACAAAAGAACAGAATGGTGTAGGGATCAGGATTACAGAATCCAGACATGCAAGAATGAAATGGAGAAGATGAAGAAGGGTAGTTTCATGTATCAGAGATGATCCCATGGAAAGGCATGCTGAAAAAGCTAGTGAGGGGGGAACAATCTAGAAAGAGCAGAGTGGAAGGAAGGGGTGGGATTCTGACCACTGGAGAAGAGGCAAATGGTTTCTGAGCTCAGAGGGAGGGAGCACAGATGAAGGGGCTGTGGAGCACCATGCAGAAAACAGTGAACAGTGCAGGCCTGCTGGAAAGCTTGGCCCTTTCTACACCAGGAACTTGGATTTGGGGAGAGTTTCTGCTACCCTAATGATAAGAGTGGTTCACTGTAACCACACTGTTGGGGCACAATGTGGTTTATTCCAAACACTGGCTTTCCCTTGGGAAAAGGCCTGCAATAGGCAGATGATGCCTATGCGTGAACAGTCCCCATAAAAATCCCTGACCCTGAGTCTCCAAAAGATTCCCTGGTAGACAGTATTTCTTTCATCTTGTTACAGCTCATTGCTGGGGGAACTAAGCACATCCTGTGTGACCACAGGTAGAGGATTCTAGAAACTGGTGCCTGGTTTCCTCTGGATTTTGGCCCTCTACTGGTTTTACTCTGTAGTCTTTTACTCTATAACCAATCACAGCTGTGTCCTGTGGGGTCTCTTAGTAAAAGGGGGTGATCTTGAGGACCCTGAAACACCACCTTTTCTACAAAGTGCATCTCCAGTGACCTGCTGGGCTACTTCTGCTAGAGGTACCTATTTGGTCAGTTCTCACCTGGATGACAGCTCTGTGTGATTCCTCTCTCTGCTACCCATAGTTCAGCTCCTTGCTCCAGCTGGGAGATGACTTCAGGTTTGGGAAGCTCAGGACCTGGAAACAGACACAGAGGTTGGCAGCGGCCCTGAACAAGAAGATCAATCCTGGCTCTAGCCTATTCTCTTCAATGTCAGGATGTATGGACAGTTCACCACAAAGTGAAGGCTTTGCTTCGGGACAGCAAAAAGCAGATGCCTCCTGCATGAACGTACCCATAGGTCAGGTCCTCACACTAGAGGCCTCACACCTCTAACTCGGGAACACGCAGTCACAGCAGCTCAGGCAGCAGCTCTTACCCACAGACAGCAGATGCCCAAAGGTCTCCAACATCACATCACGGTACAGGGTCCTCTGCGTAGGGTCCAGCTGCCCCCACTCTTCCTGGGTAAAGTCCACAGCCACATCTCGGAAGGTCACAGGCTCCTGAAATATCACACAATTCTCAATCAGCTAGACTGTTCCCATCAGTGCTCCCTGAGGAAGGAGAAAACAGGCAGGCCAGAATCATGAGAGAAAATGTGCCCTAAGTGATGTGAGTCAGGTGCAACTGGGGACTTACGGAGTCACCACAAATAGGAGTAGGTTGTAAAGTGAGACACTGAGAACAACCACAGCTGATGGACAGGTGAGGGGGCCAAAAAAGATCATCCTAAACAGCTAACTTCTAAGTTTCTGGGCCGAAGAAATGGCTATTATATAACCATACTGTTTTGGAATAATTTGCTACACAGCAGGGCTTAACTTACATACACTCACTAATCCTTTGATACGAAGTAACACTGATCACCCTTCCTGAGAAAAATGCTGTATAGGAGGGTGTCAGAGACTCACCTGCCATCAGGACCTGGCAGGCTCATGTAACTGTAGCCGGCCAGGTTAAGAGCTGACAAGAGCACTTACCCTGTGAGTAGCAGGGTCAAAGATTTAAAGGAGAATGTGTCCTGTATGAGGAGGCAGCAGGACTAAGAACTGATTGATTATGGGGAAATACAGGCCCTCTGTGGTCAAATTCTGGAAAAGAGCTGGAAATTAAGTCAGATTTTTATGTGAAAAATTTCAATTTTTAAATGAACATAGCATATCTAAAATGTGTCCTACAAACAAAACCCTTCTGTGGGTTGACGTGGCTATGCTTGAAACAGGTATTTCTGGATCAGTATTGGCTCAGTTCCTCCCTTAGAAACACCAAGCATTTATCCAGAGTCCACATCTATAAAAGCATCACCCTTTGGAAACTGTGATAGGAAAGAAGTGGCTGAAAAACACTTCCTACAGGACGATGGAATAGCCACGTGCAAAAGAATAATGGTGGCTCCCCACCTCACACCAAAAATAAAAATGAACCCAAAGGCATATAAATTTAAGATCTAAAACTACAAAATTATCTGGGCCAGTGCTGTGGCTCACTCGGTTAATCCTCCGCCTGTGGTGCCGGCATCCCATATGGGCGCCGGGTTCTAGTCCCAGTTGCTCCTCTTTCAGTCCAGCTCTCTGCTGTGGCCCGGGAAGGCAGTGGAGGATGGCCCAGTGCTTGGGCCCTGCAACCGCATGGGAGACGAGGAGGAAGCACCTGTCTCCTGGCTTCGGATCAGCGCAGCACCGGCCATAGCAGCCATTTGGGGAGTGAACCAACAGAAGGAAGACCTTTCTCTCTCTCTCTCTCACTGTCTACAGTTCTACCTGTCAAATAAATAAAAAACAAAAAATAAACAAACAAAAAAAACCCTACAAAATTCTCGAAAGAATACAAGGGACAAATCTTTATGATCCTGATTTGGCAAATGATTTGTAGACATGAAAGTAGAAGCACAAGTAACCACAGAAAATATAAATACATTGTACTCCATCAAAACTAAAAATTTTTGTTGTTCAAAAGACACTGTGAATGGTTCCTTCTCATCTTTTGACATAGAAGGGACCCCTTTCAGCCTTGCTATGGTAGGCTGAATAATGCACCCCAAAATATGTAGGTCTGGCTAATAGGATCTCTAAGTCCTAGTTCCTAGAATCCGAATATGACCATATATGGTGAAAGAGACTTTGCAGATTGACTAAGACTATAAAGTGAGATTTTCCTAGTGGGGCCCAAATGCAATTTCAAGTGTCTTTATAAAATGTCAGTAGAGAGGGAGTTTTGACTATAGAAGATGGAAGGCAATATGACCACTAAAGCAAGATGCAACAATTCTCACTTTGACGATGAAGGGAAGGCTCTGAGGCATGGAATGTAAGATCTACAACTTTCACAGCTGCAAAAGGCAAGGAAATGGGTTCTCCCCTGGAACCTCAGTAGGGACGGTGGCTCTGATCATACTTTGGTTCCAGCATGATGAAACTTATTTCAGACTTCTGAGCTCATGAGTTATAAGATTAAATGTGTGTTTTAAGTCACCACTTTTGAAGTGATTTATTACCTCAGTCACAAAGCCCTCTACTTCAGGTCCTTGCCTCTTGTGGTGAACAGCCTCCAGTATGGCTCCCAGTGAACCCCAGCCCTACTATAGTTCCCTCCTACACCAAGCAAGACCAGCTGTGGCTGATAGTGTACTGTGGAAACAACAATGTGAATGCTGAACCAAGGACACAAAAGGCATTGTAGCTTCTGCCTTGTCCTATTCCAGATCACTCAGTTTGTGGGAAGCCCGACATGCTGTTTGAGGAAACTCAAGCAGTTCCACAGAGATGGCCACATAGACAAGAACTGAGGCTTCTGCCAACAGCCAGGCAGGTGAGCATCTTGGAGATGGGCCTTCCGCTTCCAGTCCAGTCTCAGGTGACTAAACCTAGGGTGATGTATTGACTGTAACCTCATGAGCCTGAGCCAGAACCACTGGCTAAGGCTTGTTAGGATTCCTAACCATCAGAAACTGTGAGATGGGGCCGGAGCTTTGGTGTAGCGGGTAACACCACCTGCAGTGCCTGCATCCCATATGGGCACTGGTTCAAGTCCTGGCCGCTCCACTTCCAATCCAGCTCTCTGCTATGGCCTGGGAAAGCAAAATGGCCCAAAAGAGAGACCCAGAAGAAGTTCCTGGCTCCTGGCTTCGGATCAGCTCAGCTCCAGCCGTTGTGGTCAATTGAGGAGTGACCCAGCGGATGGAAGACCTCTCTCTCCCTCTGCCTCTCCTTCTCTGTGTAACCCTTACTTTCAAATAAATAAATAAATCTTAAAAAAATAAAAAAGAAAAAGAAACAACTGTGTGATACTTATTGTGGTCTTAGGCCAGTTCCATTTTTTGGTTGTTACACAGCAACAAATAATTAATATATTTCCTTTCAAGCCTTTTTACTTATTCTACGCCTCTCATCCACAGCAGGAATAAACTAGTCACATTTCATACATCTGAAAACCGGCAATCTAAGATTATAGTAGTCTCACATCATGCACCTAACTCTGAAATAACGCGAATTCCCATAAACAAGCCAATCACACACATTAGGAAATACAGAATTTCAAAGTTGCAGAGCTCTAGGAAGTACGAATTATTTTTGGTTTCTGCCACACGGAGGTAGCACTTTTTGGGGAACAGAAGCAGCAGCCACATTGTCTGCAAGTGTGGGAGCTTCGAAGGCTCTGGGCAGTTCTCCCCCAGCCCCACAGCGGCTGACCACACCACCTCGATGCATGCTGGCCTGTCCTTACCCCGAGGCTGTGCGCCATTCCCAGGGCAGGAGCTTCGCGGTGCGGGGGTCCTGGAGGGTGCCTGACCACGCATCACAGCATCTCTATTCCATCATAACCCGCCATCTGGGCGGGGGCCGACGCTGCGGTCGCTCTACCTGTCCTCACGGGTGTGGGGGGCGGGGCCGAGGGCAGCGTTAGGAACGGCTCCTGTCCCGTCCGAGGACGAGGAGGCCGGGGCGACCCGAGATCGCCTATTCGGCGTCCCCACGTCCTGCCGGCCGGTCACGAGGCCCGATCTGCGCCTCCGGGTGTAAAGGCTGAAACCGCCGCGCCCTCCTCATCGCGCGTCCTGAGGTGAAGGGGTCACTCCCGCGGGGACGACTGGCCCGGAGCCCGCAGCCGTCGTTATTTGTTACCTGCAGTCGAACGGCCGGTAGCTCTGCAGCCATCGTCACTCCTGCTGCTTCGTCCTCGGGGCCCATCTGGGGCCGACGGATTGAGGACAGAAGCCCGAGGAGAGCCCCAAATCACAGGGCCGCCTCCACCAACCCGACCACCGGACTAGCCGCTCACGGAACAATGGCGGCTGCGCCGGCGACGCTGTGACTACAACTCCCAGAAGGCCGCGCGGCACTGCGCAGCGCCAGGCCAATGGAGGCCTCCGCCCTCCTGGCTTTCGACCAATGGAGGACTTCTGAGGCCGCGGCCAATGGGAGGCTCCGCCTGCCGGTCCCGCGGCACCCGATCGCTTGCCGGCTCTCTGTGGTGCCCGGCGAGCTGAGGCGTCCGTGCCCAGGGCCCGCGTGGGCGGCCACCGAGGGGCCCCGGATGTCGGGGCCCACATTCCCATCCTGACGGCCGAGGGGCCGGTGGAGTCCGAGCGGCGGCGCTTGGATGGCGGGCTTCCCGCAGCCCCCGTCGTAGCTCTGCCGCGGACTCCAGGGGCTTCAGGCTGGACCGCTGGGCCGGGTCCTCCCGGCCGGACAAAGCCTGGGGTGCCTGGGCGTAGGCTACAGATTACCGTCCTCCTCAAAAACACACAGTCACCTCAGCGCGTGAGTGTCGTGGACGTGCTCGTCGTCGGGGAAGGCGACTCGTGGCCAGCAGGGGGCGAGCGAGGCTCGCGGGAGCTGGTCGCGCCCCTGGACCGTGGGAGGCGCCCGCGGCGGAGTCGGGGACCCCTTTACTGGGAGTTCATGGGAGCCGGAGAGGCTCACCGAGATGCGTGTGCCCCTCCACGAGTGTCTCTCGCGGAAGCGCCAGGCACGCAGCAGGGAAGAGAACGGATACCCGCCGGCTGACGGTGCAGCGGGGAGTGTGCGAAATGAACCCGGTCCCCAGCAGGCGCGGAGCGGCTGCCTCCCGGTCCTCCCTTCTCCGACCCTTGCCCCCTCCCCACCGCCCTGCAAAGGGCCAGCAGTACCAGGAGGAGTCCCAGGTGTTAAACAAAAGTTATAGGAGGCCACTGTTTCCGACTAAGCTCCTGTGCTAGGCGCAAACAACACAGCAAATAAAAGGGGAGCCGCTTATGCCAAATGCAACATCACCAAACAGAAACTTTCAGGAAGCAGATCCCCAAATAGAACAGTTTCTCCCCAAGGCAGGAGAGTCTGGTTTACCTAAGTGTAATAAGGAAGTCCCCTCTGCTTTAACTTAAAAAAAAAAAGTTTATTTTATTTTATTTGAAATGCAAAGTTACAGAGAGAGATAGAGACACACAGAGAGAGGGGTCTTCTGTCCACTGGTTCACTTCCCAGATGGCCGCAACAACTGAGATTGGGCCAGGCTAAGCCAGGAGCCAGAGTCTCCCATGTGAGTGCATGGCCCCAAGGGCGTAGGCCGTCCTCCACTGCTTTCCCAGGAGCATTAGCAGAGAGCTAGATTGGAAGTGGAGCAGCTGGAACTGGAACCAGTGGCCATGCTAACTCACTGAGCCACAGTGCCAGGATCTTCTGCTTTAACTCTAAAAAGAAAAATAATCTGATGTTAAACAATGAGCTTTTCCCCCCTGTTGTCTCCTCGTTCCCACCTTTCAAACGTCACTGTTCTCCCAGTGGGACCCTTCTCCCAATAGGACCCTTCATTCTATCTTTTTAGAATGGAGGTTGCTCATTTCATGAATTTCAAGTAAAAACCAATTATGTCTGTAACTAGATTGGTTGTACATTTTTCTTTTGATAGATGTGCTCACTCACCAGGACAGGTGGCAGCAGCTGCTGTGGAAATGATGGGTCCGACAGCCTCCAGGAGCCCGACTTTGCCTTCTCTGGGAGCCCGCCACATTCTCAGGCATATCCCCTTCTCTGTGGGCAGAGGAAGTACAGGAAGGATCTGTTGCCTTTCCTTTAGCAGAGTTCCCTGGGATGGAGAGGGCTGTTGAAGATCTATTGTCTTTTCCTTAGTAGAAGCCGGTGTGTTCATTTGGAACCAGTCACTGGGCTCAGCTTTCCTCCTGGTTCTAATGGTGCTGAGTTTGAGATTCGTGATGTTTCCCTGTATGTTTTCCTTTTTCAGTTCTGGTAGTTTTGTTTTTGTGATTCTAAGATAGAAATTTGTCTATTGCAGTAATTTTCTGTGGGTGGGCCTAAGAGCCCTTGGGAGTTCCTGAGACACTCTGAAGGGGTAGTGAGTTCAAAACTAAGTCCATAATAATACTGAGATGTTGGCTTTTTCTTTCATTTTCTCATGAATATATGGTAGTTTTTCAGAGGCCACTGAAGAGTAATACTGGAACCAATTAAAGGGACAAACAGCTATGGATATTCAGCTGCTTTCTGTCAAGCCAGACATTAACGAGATTTGAATAATATAATGCAGTTCCTCTCTTTTTAATAATTTTTGTTTTGAAAATGTAATTATGTTTTATCAGGTTATGCATTTATTTTTAAAAATATGTTGTATTAGTTTTCCACAGCTGCAGTAATAAAATACTACAAACTGGGTGTTTTAAGCATCACAGCTTTCCTGTCTCACAGTTATAGAGGTAAAAACACGAGATCCAAATGTTGGCATGGGGGCTGGCATGTGGCACAGGGGGTTAAGCCACCACCTGCAACGCCAGCATCCTATATCAGATTGCAAATTCTGGCTGCTCCACTTCCAAACCAGTTCCCTGCTAATGTACCTGGGAAACATCAGAAAATGACCCAAGTATTTGGGCCCCTGTCACCCACGTCAGACCTGTGTAAAGTTTCAGGTTCCTGACCAGCACCGCAGCTCAATAGGCTAATCCCCGGCCTGTGGTGCCGGCACCCCGGGTTCTAGTCCCGGTCGGGGCGCAGGATTCTGTCCCGGTTGTTCCTCTTCCTGTCCAGCTCTCTGCTGTGGCCCGGGAGTGCAGTGGAGGATGGCCCAAGTGCTTGGGCCCTGCACCCGCATGGGAGACCAGGAGAAGCACCTGACTCCTGGCTTCGGATTGGCGCAGTGCGCTGGCCGCAGCGGCCATTGGGGGGTGAACCAACAGAAAAGGAAGACCTTTCTCTCTGTCTCTCTCTCTCACTATCCACTCTGCCTGTCAAAAAAAAAAAAATTTTTTTTTCAGGTTCCTGGCTTCAGCCTAACCCAACCCAATTCTGCTTGTTGCTGCCATTTGGGAAATAAACCAGCAGATGGAATACCTCTTTCTCTGTGTGTGTCTCCCTCTCTCTGTCACTTATTGCCTAGCAAATAAATACAATAAATATTCATGAAAAAGATGCTGGTTCTTTCTGAGGGCTGTGAGATGGAATCTGCTCCATTCCTTTTTTTCTCTTGATTTGCTGGCAATCTTTGGGATTCCTTGGCTTGCAGAAATCTGACTATCCACTTTAAAAATATCTTTATGTATTTGAAGATGGTGGTGTAAGAAATGACCATGGCATATTTTCCTAAGAGACTTAGCTTTGCCTTTGTGGGACCATGATACTAGGCCTCAGTAGCATGTGGGATAGAGGTTTGCAAAAACTCCAAAGTAGATCAGGGGCTGACTTTGCTTTGAAGACCTTGTACCGCTTGTTATCTCTGTAACTTGCAGCAGTTCTGTAATCTGTAGCCATGGGCTGTCTGGTACACAATGCTCTCCTGTCTCAGTTCCTGGAGCCTGGATGACACTCCAGTGTAACTCCCCTTCCCCGTGCTAGATCTGCCCAGCAGCACCCTCTCCTGTTAACCCTCCCTCACCCTGCTTCAGGCGCTGTGTGGGGCTTAGCTTGCACCTCCTAAGTTTGAAAGGCACTCTGCATGGCAGGGATAAAAGGAGCGGAGTTTCTGAGGGTAGTGCCTGCTTCCACTGGCTGATCACTGCTGTTCAGACCAGCTATCAAGAAGTGTCTCACTTTCTGCTTCCTTCATGCTTCTGAGTCCATTCTTTGGTGCGTAGGTGATCTCACATGGGCTTATTTCCCATGGTGAACCAGAGTTGGGGAGAGTGAGAGACAGAAATCTCCCATCCACAGGGTCACTCCCCAGATTAGACAATAACTGGGAACAGGGCCAGACCAAACCCAGGAGCCAGGAACCCAACCTGGGTCTCCCATGTGGATGACAGGGACCCAACTACTTGAGCCATCACCTGCTGCCTCCCAGAGTGTGTATTATCAGGAAGCTGGAATTGAAAGTGGAGCCAGGATTTCAACTCGGACTCCATTTAGGGATGTGGACATCCTAAGCAATGTCTGTAACTACTGTGCCAAACGCCCACCACTAAATTCCCCTCCTTGCATTTTTTTTTTTAAATAAGGACATTAGTCATGTTAGAGCAGGGTTCACCCTAATGACCTCATTTTAACTTAGTTACTTAGTAAAAACTGGGTCTACATCATGTGGCAGTGTGGGTTAGAACTTCAACATATAAATTTGGGGCTGGGGCAGAGGGGGATATAGTTCATCTTATTATGTATGTTAATATACAATGGACTTGTTTTTAAAAATTAAAATTATATATTAGTTTTTTTCTCACTTTTAATGCCTGACACAGTAAATATTGATAGCTCCTACATAAACAAAAAATTTGGGATCCTCAGTAATTTTTAAGAGTGTAAAGAGGTCTTAAGACATAAAAAACTCAAGACACATTTATCTGTAGCATTTTTCCCCCTAAGATTTATTTTATTTATTTGAAAGAGTTATAAAGAGAGGTAGAGACAGGGAGAGAGAGAGATCTTCCATCTGCTGGTTTATCCCCCAAATGGCTGCAGTGTCTGAAGCTGAGCCAATGCGAAACCAGAAGCTAGAAGCCTCTTCCAGATCTCCCATGTGGGTGCAGGGGCCCCAGGACTTGCGCCATTCTCTGCTGCTTTCCCAGGCCACAGCAGAGAGCTGGATCAGAAGTGGAACAGCCGGGACTTCAACTGGTGCCCATATGGGAGGCCGGTACTGCAGGCTGGGGCTTCAGCCCACTGCACTACAGCGCCAGCCCCTGTAACTTTTCTTTTAAATAAGCTTTGATGATAATTTTGTATTCATGTCTATGATTTGATATGGTGTTTTAAAAATTATTTAAACAGATTCATATTATTTTTACTTCCCTTTTGACCAGAGGTCTGTTTCAGATTTTATTCTAAAATATCCAGATTGAGCTTTTCCCCAATTAATTACTTGTAAATTTGTTGTGTAACTAAAGAATATGTTAATACAACTTTTGCATTTTTTGGTTTCTAAGGATGGATGGCCTGGTGGATAATCAGACCCCAGAACACCTGCAAAAGCGATTTTTCCTCAAACATAAGTCCCCAGTAAAAATCTGCCATCTCAAGCTCAACGTAGAATTACTAGAAGTACACATGTCCTTTGCTGCTTGTGGGAATCTACCGGTTCGCTCAGTGGAGGAGATCCAGATCAGTTATGTGCTTAACACTGGACCTACGTGTGTGACTGAGGGGATCAAGTGGGTCAGATGTCAAACCGCGGGTCATGGGCTATGGTTAGGTGGGGTCACATACCAAGTTTGGTTAATGGGAGTAGCTCGGCCTTGAAGCCCTAAGAGGGGGTCTCCTGGGTGGGAGTTGGTGCTTTTTCTGGATAAACACAAAAAATGGCATCTCCATTTCATTTTGAATGCTGGCCACAAAAAAAAAAATGTTTGCACATCACAGGACAGTATTACAGATATTTTGAAATATTATTTCACTTATCACTATGAAATTGTGGTAATTATTAGGGTCACCACTAAACCTTATTTAGTAGTCATTTAATGCATTAGTAAGGGA